TATATATATATATATATATATTGGACGGGGGTCCTTTGCTGCTTCTTTGCTAGCTCCACATGTGATATGCATGTTGTAGCTCTAGGTGTTGTGCATCCGGCATCCTGTGTGGATGCTGATTGCCAGTCGATAGGTGCTGCGCCATATTTTACTTGCGCAGGCAGTCCAACACTTTTTGGGACCTCTAGAAATTCGCACGGATTTAAAGGGAGCCGACGTATTTGGCGATGCGGTCGCAGCCTTGAAGGCCTTTGAAAGGTTCCACAGAGGGCATTGCGGGCCGCGCGAGTCGAGCACTCCCACCCCTCAGGCTTCATGCTTAGAGAAGCTGGAGGGGTCTCTTGCGCAGCATGCAGCTAACGGGGGACCGGCGAACGCTACACAGCAGCTTCTGCCAATCCTCAGTCTCACCTGCCGCTACAGGGAGCAGATGGAGCACTGGCTATCTGCGGGCCCCGAAGAAGTAGAAAGTCTCGCGTTTCTCCTAGGCCGTGCAGTTATCATTGGTTCCCCCGCAGCAAGTCTTGTTTATGCAGAGAAGGAGGGACAGGACGAAGGCTCACAGCCACAGGAGCAACAGCAGCAGAACCAGCAGGAACAACAGCAGCCGCAACAGCAGCAGCATCAACATCAACAACAGAAACAAAACTCAGGTTTGCTGCCCAACGAATTGGCCCTCTACAAGTTGCAGCGAGACCTGGCTCTTTTGCCGGAGCTGGCCGTTGAACTGCACATTGGACCTGAGGAGGCCCCGAGTCTCATTTCCCCATCATTACAGATGACGGCCTTGGACGTTCAAACAGTTGAGGACCTTCGTCCCTTCATGCCTGACGATTATCCTCTACCAACCGACTTGGAAGCCAGCGCAAGCGCACAGCAGCCTAATGACGGCAGCAAACGAAGCCCCCGGAATAGTCGTAAGAGAGAGAGTGGTGCAGCCCCAGAAAGCGGTGGAGGAGGCGATTATCTCCTGGATTGCGCGCATCGGAGGTCTGCCCCTGTCAGTGTCTGGTTGGAGAACCTCAGGGCCTTCTGCGTCAAACCCAGAGATCCAGCAGGCGCAGATGCTTGCGAAGTTTTGAAACTATGGTTATTAGGGCCAGGGGAACAGCAGGGACCCCAGAGCGATGCAGAAAGTCCCAGGTCAATAGCAGCCCTTCCTGCACTCATTCGCGTTGCAGAGTGGAATACACAGAAACCAAAATCGACACTGAAAATCCCCGAACTCGATATTGCCCTCGAGCCGCTCCACTTGAGGCCAGGTGAGACAGACAAAAATGAGGTGCCATTGCTGGCGGGAGGACAGGTAGAACGAAGGAGCACGCTGTATGAACTTCGATTCGCCGGATTTTGTGTTTGCCGCTGAAGTTGATGTAGAGGGAGCGAATGATATTTACCCTGTAAAGGAAATTCACCATGCATTTTTGTTTGGTATTCCTTATCCGCGCAGGCGCAACTGGTCGAGACGAGCTGGAGAAGGCCCAAGCTTTCAACTTAGTTGGAGGCATTTACGCAGGGAGAGGAACGGTGAGACATCAGCGGCCGTCTGAACGTGCTGCGTGGCAGCGCATCTTTTCGGCTCTGAAGGTACTGAGGGACGTGGAATGCAGCGATCTGTTCGGGTAATGTTGAGAGTTGCAATGCTTTTAAACGATGACACCCGGTGCATCTGTGGGTGGCCATATCGTTCGCTTCACCCACTAGATAGGCCTTGGCAGCCTGCCAGCGGCCGTTTGGGTCACCGAAGCAGGTGGGGGGAGACCGCCTAGTGACGGATGGATTGGCTGTAATGCATCCTGACCGAGGTTGCAAACGACTGGTGGGGACTCCAGCGCAAACTTGAATACGAGAAGTAGATTACCACATAGGGAAACCAAGGTGGCAGGAGGGTTAGGCACATTTTTGTCGTTGTGCGGACACCCCATGTTGTTTGCCCTGCTCGAGCTTCGGGCTTCTTGCACATGGGGACCAGCGGTAGCTCGGGTTTTCTGTCCATCATTCTGTTTTCTCATTTCCTCTTCCCCTTTCCTACCTGGACGCAGGAGACCATCAGCTGCACCTTGAGGCAGACTCAGCATATTCATAAAGTCCACGAGGCTTGTACCACCTTCATTGTGGAGATTCAAGTTTACAAGCAGAAAGTCAAACTGAATGTAGAAGGCAACGGACATTTTCCTGCTCCTTTCCGGCCAGAAACCCCAACACTGAGCCATGGATATGTATGAGCGGACCGTTTTAAATAGGAGCACATTGCAGTGTAATTGACTGCAATATATATAATTACAGTCATGTACATACTGCAGTTACAATATATAGCACATAGAATTGCTGCAGTAGGGCATAAGGAGATGGGAAACAACACGAAAGGCATTGTACGTCACTCACAAATGGGGCTGACGGAAACGAGCTAAAACGGCATCCCATCACACACGGCACACACGGCATCCTTGTCATTACTGGCAAACTGAGAGACAACTGCCATATCGGTAGATCTCAGTAGTTGAAGGCTTTTGGGGTGTAGCATGACTCCTTAAATGTAGTATAAGTCAGACACGGTAAAATGCATTAATATTTTTGCTGCTTCTCTTCCTCGGGACTAATTTTGAGTGTCACCAGTCATTTTTTGTTCTCTCCGCTGTGGCTGAATGGTGCCAATGGGTTGTAGGGCTTGCCGTAGCTGTTAGTGCTATGGGCCGGTATCGTTGTTGAACTGGAGGTTGTAAATGCCCTGTCGGCAAAGGGTGAGTAGTTCCCATCTATGTTCAGCAGGAACAATTAGGCGCCGATATATCCGTTAATTGTGGATTCATAGCCAACTTTGCGGACCGTGGTCGGTAGGTATTTTAGCGCCCGAAACTTCCACAGGGTTGTTCACAGTTAAGTTTGAATGTGCGTACACCTCAGTGAAGTATGTACCATAGCTTTCGAATATCAAGTAGATCAGTCCTCCCGCTCCGGCGAAGTCCAACAAAGACAAATGCGTGGACGGTAGGCCACAAAGTCACCAGAAGCATGCTTTACTCTTCTCGCCTTCCTAGCGATATGGAGTAAAGCATGCTTCTGGTGGCTTTCTGGCCTACCGTGCACGCATTCGAGAAGTAGACCCGCATACAGCATCAAGTTGACATCCAGTTAGTTGATGAGCAATCGGCATTGTAACGAACCCAAGCTGCAATGCCCTAAAATGGGGCAGATGCCAGCCACCTGCATCTAAGTCCTGCACGGCACCAATCAAAAAAATCTGGACCCGTCGGGGGGTGATGATAAGAATATTCGGTATTTAAACGGTCCCTCGAGTTTTTCTCACAAAATGGGAAGGCAGTAGGATTAAACGACCATGCTTTTGAAGGCATTATCCGGCCGGGTTGTCACTGCTTCTTATTAACAAGACATCCCTAAAGTTGTTGGAATTCACTCCCCTAAACGAAGCCGCTACCTCAACTGAGAGAGCCGCGGCGTACTTCTCTCGAAGAAAGGAGATAAAAGCCAAAGATCCACCACCAATGCCGAAATAATACCTTCACATAGACACGATGGCAGAAGATCAGCAGGCGGATGTGGAGGGAGAATCAACATCACCTGTAGAAGTACACTGGGGGTAATAATTTTGCATGCACACATCATTGTACCCAGTAATGTAGCTACAGGTTGATGTTGGAGGCATAAGATACGGCAAACGAACGACAGAAGGGGAAAACGGATAGCAAGACAACACTGACTACCGGAAGGTATTGACAGTGGACACGGTAACGGGTAAACTACGGGAAGGAAAACCGCAAGGATCCTGCCCACCTCTTGGAGGCCACTAGAGCAATGCCGTCCTTGTGAAGGAGACGTTTGAATAGTTCCGCGAGGGGCTCGAATGCTTCTTCTCTGTATATTCCTTCGGAGCACAAAATGACACTGAATTGAACTCCCTTCTGGCTTGCCTGCCGTATTGTCTCAGTCGTCATGCCTGTCTCTGGTAGGGCTGTCACCCCGCTTCTTCCTTTCTCCGGGACTGTCTCAATCGAAGTTTCAGGCACCGGTTTTGTCTTGCTGCTTGTCTCCATCTCCCTCGTTGTCTTCATTCCTGTGCATTGGCATGAGCAAAATATCTCTGGATGCTTTTCCCAGGACGCTGCCACACAAAGAGCACGGCCATGCAAAAGAGGAAAGCTCGACGCCTCCATCTGCTGACTGGTGCCCACGTCTGGAGTTGGATTCCTTAAAGCTTCTGCATAGGCTGGCCCCTCATTTCCAAGATGGGCAGCTGTCGGCGGGGGGAAGACCCTGCCAGTGGAAGCAGACAATTCATGCTTATGTGGCATGGTAGCGCCAAGACAGCCTTCGCTCGCGCTTTTCAGAATGTTCCATCGAGTTGCCAAGTTAAGCACCTTAAAAAGGGAAGAGAGCAAAAATAGAGGAGGATGCCATGGGGGGATGGCGAAAGGTTGCATATACTTCGGCTCGCCTACACTGAAAATTGTGAGTATGCAACAAGCCAAACACCAAACAATCTAGCCAGCAGATCCCAAAACAGACAAGCAAATGGTCCACCTGAATGCCAGCCCCAGCATCAATATTTACCTACCTACCTAGTTCTAGCCAGCTAAATAGCCATACACTCGCCTTACAGATGAGCTATGGATCGATCCTACCAGCCGTTAAATGTAGACAGCATTAGCGAAGCACTGAACTTATTGAATCTCCATTCAAGTCGCGTTAGGTCACGTACACATGGTCAACGGCCAGCCCACCTCTTCCGCATCAAAACTATGCCTCAAAGGGAAACAGCAGCGCTGCATATGCACTAGAGAAAGCATGCAAGTGTCATTCTACCAAAATGAGGCCTCACATCTTCGTTCAAATCCTGAAAGACCACAGCATGAGCGCCGCTCTTGAGAGCCCAAATACCCAGTAAGCCGTGGCCGCACCCTGCACACAAAAAAGCCAACTAGTACATGCAACATCATACAACAACATACTAGGAAACGTGGGAATACATTCTAGTCGATTAATAGGCATAGAAGTCGGGTGGCCTGCCTCACTGCCACAGGAGATGACGCAGCCAACAATGGCTTACCCAGGTCCAGGACGTGGCCCCTACTGACCAGGTCACGAGCATGTTTAGCTTTATCGTTGTCTGTCTTTTGCAAGAAACCCAGGAGGTCCCAGGTGCATTCCCAAATAGAAAATCCCCCCTCATATTCTCCCTTTTTCACCTGAGAACGCAGCAAGAACCCATGCAGCAAAAGCCAAATAGGGGCAAAGTGCGGTAAGGATGCAGAAAAAACTAACAGGAGTGGAGCAGAGAGAAGTGCATAGAATACAATAGAGCCACTCGCATAAGGTGTGCACAGGGACACAGCTTAAGAGGACCACAAGGAAAAGTTTGTGCGGATAGACACAGGGCAAGCGGCAAAACAGACGGAAGAGGTTGGCAGGCACACAGATACACGGAAGTATACACCCAAGGGGCTAGGTGCCGGAGGAGCGGCAATCAAAAGCCAGTGAGTTGTTCAGACAGAGAAACTGGGCTACAAAAATAACAAAGTACACACAGTGAAGCAGGTAACGAAATCCACACACACTGCGCAGCAAGCAATTTTGTCGTCACTTTCGAGTGCATGAAGACTGGATGACAGTAGGTCCGGTTACTTCTTCCATAGGAACTAGGTAACAAGCCTTTCAGCATCTGACCAGCATATCATTGCTGGCTGTGGGGCATCCCTTCACAACGAAAAAAACTGAGGACTCATCCCCTGTGTGTTCATCAGTTGAGCCTTCGTTTGCGTTTTCCTCTACAGCTAAATTCCGGCGGAATGCGGATTCTTCTGCACCTATGTATACGTCGCCGGATAGTGGCCTTGTGTGTACAATCAAAGGGGCCCCTTCCGCAGTAATTCGCATTGCTGCGAATGCCGGGGAAGGCCCCCAGTCTTGTGGGAAAGCCATTTGGTGTCCTGGGTCTACGAGTGGCTAATGAACAGGTACAGAACTTCCCTAACAACGAAGAAGTCAATCGAGTCTAGCGTTCTTACTCAGGTGCCCAAGGGAGGAGGGACACGAATGTAGGCAACTATGGTCTACGAAAGAATGTTGGTTACTGAAGGAATGACGCGAAGTAGTGGAAACGTGAACATATCACCAACTAAATACTTCAACATATAATGTAATATAATGTACATGCATAGTCATTTCAGAACAGGTATTGCATCAGAAAATCGAGTAACCAAGCAATCGCAGGGGCTGGTGAAGATCGCCTGTGAGAAGGGCCCCACGTCTATTCAGCCTCATTATGTTTGCTGGCTTTTACACAGTTCCAGTTCCATCTGCATGAAGTAATTTTCCTTGGAAAACAAAAGGTGTTCGCTTCTCCGTACTTCTCATCTAAATGGCATGCAGAGCCGTCATCCAATGCCTGTTCATTTCGCATAGGGGGGCCCTAGGATTGGGGGAAAGGCTTTGACTTGGAGGCAACGAGCGTATAATTTTCTACGTATGCTGGACTTCGAGTAGCCTGGATGTATAAAGAAGGGGACCAGTTTTTTTTTCCTTTTGCTGCGCCTCTGGGGGACGCTGCTTCGGGCAGTGCCGCAGGAAAAAGCGAACAAGCATTTACTTGGTTTAAAGGTCTTGTCAAATCCTGCTGCTTTTCCTTCCTAAGCCCCCCTTTCATCTGGCCGTTTTCTCTAGAAAGTTGCATTTGTCGCGTGGAAGATCTCCGTAGATGAAATGGCGACAGACGGGCTTGCTGTCTTCCTTCCTGGCGACTATTGCCCCTTAATTCAACCTTCAAAAGGCACGGCAGCAGAAGCGGCAGCAGCAGCCTCCTCCTCGGCTTCCTCAGCAGCAACTGTGGCCCGAACCTTTGACTGGAGTGCGGTGCACGTACACCACACGCAAGCTACTGGATATCTAGAGCCGAACCAGCAATCAGAGTCTTCAGTGGAAACCGAGGGGGCAGGGCCTTGCGTAAGGGCAAGAACAGCTTCCTTGCTTTTGCCTAGGCACATTTTGCCTCCCCACGCCCCCACTTACGTTTGCATCAGCAGTCACAACAGATACACTCCGCGGGTCGGGGATATCGTCGTCGGCATCGTCAACTCTAAAGGCTCAGAGTATTATGGTGTACGTACACGCTTAATCGGAAATCCTGAAACTAACTTTTAATCTGCTTAGCTTATTATTGTTGCTACTGCTTTGTCTAATATTGTATGGCCCATCGTCTCATCGTGGCCTCCCACACACGTCCTCTACCCTGACTACATTCCTGAGTCAACATTTTTGATAATAATGTTGTGGAGGGTCACCAGTGCGGAGCTGGGTATGTTGGTATTCTTTATATAGGATTGAAGACTCTCAACTGGTACTGGCTAGCCGCGTATGCATACGATATTGGCTTTGTGCCAGTGTACTCAGGTCAACATCCGTAGTTCAGGCCCAGCCCGCCTGGCAGCCGTTGCGGGGTTTGAGGGTGCGACACGGCGTAGCAAGCCGCAGCTGAGCATAGGGTCTGTACTGCTGGTTCGCATTTCCCACCTGTCCCCGTTGCTGGGGGCTGACGTCACCTGCTGCAGCAGCAACTGCAGCAAGCCGTGGACCAGCAACGAGAAGGTCCTTGGAGAACTGAGAGGCGGAATCATCATTGAGGTCCCCATCCCGTTTGCTCTAAGGTATGCTGAGAACTTGCCGCTATTGTGCGTGCTCCGGTATTGGTACTGCTGTCGTACCTGCTGCGCAGGCTGTCATCCCCACCCCTACTCGAGATGCCTGGCTGATCAAACTGCACGAAGTTCGGAGCTACACAGTAGTTGAGGGTTTGGTGCATATGCGTGCTCGTGTGCTGCTGCAGCCTGTTGTATCGCGACAGCTTGGTGCTGCAGCTTCTGGGCAGCCGCTTGCCCTTCGAGATAGCCACTGGTCTCAATGGGCGCGTTTGGATCAGAGCTGAGACTCCAGCTCTCAGCATACGGGTGGGGAATTGCATCGCTGCAGCAGCAGCGGGGCGAACACCAGCGGTGCTGCAGGCCATTATAAACGCACTTCTTCAGCAGTAAGTACTCACCATTCACGCTGTTGCGGCAGCAAGCGTCATTTCTCTGCCGCACTGGGTGTGGCCCACAGCAGCTGCTGTTGCTGCTTGGGCTGCAAACACGTGGGCTCCATGCTTTGTCGGCACACGGCGGACATGGGTAAAACATAAGTCGGAAACCAATGAAAACATATCGTTTTAAACACATGCCCAGTTTGAGCTGCACCTACGCCTCCACTTGCCCTTGTCTGTCTTCTGACAGGCCTGCCTAGGGGGCGTCACCGCACAACCGCCACTGACAAAATATGGGCGTTTCTGCGCTCTCTTCATCAATGCGTTTCTCACTTCCTACTACGCGCCTAGTGCAAAACATGGGCTACCTCCAGCCGACGGTTGTCCGCCCCGGCCTAAGCAGAGCCCAGAGCGAACCCTACATGCTAAACACTCGCTGCAACTGCAAAAACCTGGAGTCACTGGGGACTGGCGGACGGAGCTAATTGTGTAAAACATTTGCTTCGAGTGTCCATCATGAGATGTTAGGTTTCAAATGTAAAAACAATGGAGGGGAGTGAACGGGAGGACCTCCTCTGTGCATTGTGAAGGCGCACTGGGGATGGGGCAGGGTTACTGGCCTTTCTCGTCTTTTCGTATTCTCCTGCCACTCCTCTAGTCGCTTTTTGTTGACCAGCTCCCTCCAGCGCAGGAGAAAGCCCTTCTCTAGCCGAACCTGGCAACCCCTGCACGCTATACTATCGGGCCGGAGAAAGACGGCGCTCGATCATCGCCCAGCCCCGTCTACTTAAAACATAAGACGCATAGACCCTGGCCACCTAAACAAACAAATCAGCATAAATAACCTACCCACATCACGCCGCACTGAAGAACACAAGCCGCGCTGCTCACCCAGCCCCTCAAAACAGCTAATTCAATGAACACCCTTCACACTGATGCACGCTGTGGGGCCTCCTTAACACCACAGTCCGTGGCTCGTCCCGAAAAGGAACCCCAATGCTCCTTCCCAGTGCAGCTCCGCCGTTCTCCTTGGTGCATATGCTTTTCGGAGACGGTATGCGCGTCGTCCGCTGCACGCTTGACGAGTTGTTCGGGCGAGCACCAGCTCCTGCTGTTATTGGCTAGCTCCTGCTGCTGCAACGGCGATTTCGTGGCAGCGGAGGCTTCCGGCGTGGAAGGCGGTGAAATTGATTGGGAACTACCCGAAAAACACCCAGTCGATCCAGAAGAGGACGGCGAGCAGCAAGTGTTCCCGCACTGCTGCTGCGGTGCTTTGCCACTGCTGCTACCCCTGCTGCTGCTGCCACAAGCCAACCCTTCTAGGGCGTTGCTGTTGCTGCTGCTGCCACTGCTGTTGGATCCGCCACCGGAAGCAACTGGCGGCGCTGGCTGGTTGCCGTTCCAGCAGATAGCCCGCGGTCGCCTCGTGGCAAAAGGGGAGTCCAAAACGAGTCTAAAGTACTTGTGAAATTCCCACGGCATGACATGAAGCCTGAAGTGTAGCATGCGCAGCAATGTGGCCTCAAGGTGGTTCATCTCCTGCAGAGGGAGGCCCCCGACCTTCGCATAGTATGCGTTAGAGTAGAATGTGTCGTCTGCAAATTTTACAGCAACCATCAGGGCTGTAACCGCCAGACGGTGCAAGTTGAGAGGACACAGCCACACGTTGCTGTTCATCTGGAGTAGCCTGTCAATATAAACCAAGGCCAGCACAAAACACTCCCCACTGCACTGAAAAAAACGAGCCAAACGCTCTAAGTAGTCCGGCATGCTGATCATTGGCTCCGTGGCACTGAGAAAGCAAGGCGCCCCACACCCTTCAGATCTGTTTTGCATACCCAGGTGCTGCAACAAAGCTGCTACAGAAGCAACGATAGACGCGTCAGCAGCAGACACCTCGAACAAAGGCTTCCAAGAAGGCGCCCGGCCCCCCGCAGCACCTGCGCCGCAGCTGCAATTGGAGCAGCGGCGGCAGTTCGCCTCGTGCGAAGCATCACGAGATGCATCTACGCCCCGCGAAGCATGGGGACCATCCCTCGCCTCCGCATGGCTAAATGTATGCCGTAGAGGGCCTACAGAGGGACCCCCCTCGGAATGCAAGGGAGCCCTCAGCCCGACGGCCACAGCTGGGATGGCCATCGCCCCCTGAGAGATAACAGATCGGCTTTCGCTCCTGTCGGTTATGCTGACGAAGAACCAACTCAATCAATGAAAAATCATCACATCCAACTAATAAAACCAGCCCTGCAGGAACCGGGACAATTGGCGACAATTCGTAAGCCTCTACCGACAAGGTCTTGGTAACCGTAGCTCACACACAGCGATGTCCAGAGAGAGGGCCTTTCCAAAGTTGTCCCTTGAAGTTCGAATGAGATGGTGGATTTCCCCTGAAACCCCTATTCCTCAGTGCAATGTCAACGCAGCTGCATGAGTCACGCTTCCGGCGAGTCATTTCACACAGACCACTCAGGTTGGGTAGGAGGCAAGACCACTTAATGGAAATTTCCAGTTCAAATGCTTCTTGCAACCCTAGGCCACCGGCGACGGCCTCTTTTGGCCTCCTCTAGCCTCTGTGTTGGCCTGCCGGATGTTTCTATGCGTCCGAAAAAAGATCGTTGAGGGAGAAAATTGCGGCAGCCAGCCGCAAGAGGAAGCTGCAGGAAGAAAAGCTATGGCGCATATGCAAAAATAACGCGCTTTGTTACAATGAAGCGCGCTCGTCGCAGGTCAAAAAGGGGTGTCTATACACCTGCAAGGTGTTGAGGAACGGCAGAGAACAGGGGAACGGCCAGAACAAAGTGAGCTCAGCGGCGCAGACCAGAGAGGAGTCTGTTTTTTCAACCCAAAAAAAGAAAAGAAATATGAGGTCTATGGCGCAAAAGAAATGAGGAGGCGCCAAACAATTCGCCCCCTCTGTGCCGGTGGATTTCGCAGTTGCGAGGCACAGCCGGGAGAGGTTAGCATGGGTTCCAGCACCGGCCGTGCTGTTGGTGGGAAATATACAAAAATAAGCTGCTGATGTCGCAAAACCCCACAGCGAATCCTCCAGGTTCTTTGACAGAATCTCCCCGCAACAGCGGTTGGGCTGGAATGGGGGGCATGCGAGGGGGAACTTAGAGCAATGCGACGGTTTGCAAGTGTCCCTAGCAAGATATTCTCCCGTCTTAAGGCTATTCAAGTTGCATCATATTATGTGAAATATCATTTTGTGTGATGTCAATGGGTATGAAACCGCTCTTCTTTGTCTCGGACTATTTGCAGGAGGATGCCCCTCGGCACTCATAATTCTGCAACATCCGTGGGACGCTACCCGGCCCACAACACGAATGGTGCGAAACAGCCCATTATGCTGGGTAGATGTGGATAGGACCCACTGATCTACGCATACCAGCTATCTAATCAGGTTTAGCATCTTAATTCCCTCTTACCTGTAGTGAGCTGTCGCTTCCCGCAGAACGATGTAACCGCTGGGTCGGAAGCTGCCATATGTGCTTCCACTGATGAGTATGTTGGCTGCTTCGATTTAAGTGACTGTACAGAGATTGTCTGCAGCACTCATGCATGCACAAAGAGTGGGCTTGCTCGCAATAACGGGAACATGCCATAATAGGCTAGTCCGGCGGCCTTGATAGGGACGGCTTCATGTAGCTAAGTGTAGCATAGCCAGTGTGATGATAGCAAGTCTCTCTGAAGTGGGCGTGTAAAGCCTTACCAGGCCCTAGTAGATAGCAGGTACTTTAGGGGAATTTACCAACAACAGTCTGCAGTGTTTTGCAGATGCAGCAAGGAGGGCCTACTCGCCCGTTTATTGGGGAGTCTATTTCACATTTGGTTGCAGCGAGCTGCGTTGAAACTCACAGAAGGCTTCCTGCTCTCCCTCTGGTTCAGTCGTTTGAGCCGCTACGACTGGGCATGGAGAATTAGCTCTGCTTAATCTAGGTATTTAGACTCCCTTGCAGCTAGCAAGAGACAATAGATACGGCCTAGAAGAGGAGCTATTCTTTGTGGCAACGGATGGTTTAGGGGATGCAGGTACGAACAACAACCGCACCTGCCACTTGCACAAGGTTTGGAGGAGTCATGGAGCGAACATAGAGCCCAGCCTCACTAACGGATCAGCACAGAGTCGACTCGAATATGAGCTAAGGTCGTAGCAACGAAGGGAACTTGCTAGCGCTACACAACACATGTGATAAAGTGGATATGTTGTGAAACTACGGCAAAAGGGTTCAATCTTTCAGTTCATCCATTGCCACAGTCTCTGCACCTTCGCTTCGCGCATGGTAGTCAAGAGACGCCAATTGCCAAAACTGAGAATGTAAAATGCCGCATACGTTCACAGCTTGTCATCTAAGGATACCTTGGAACTGTTTTGTTGGAACAATTCTCCACGACATAATTCTAGAGATGCCCAGAACAACACAGTTGGGGGCGCGCATGCGTCTTCCTGATGACACCACTGAGGTGTACGTTCTAACCACCGAGAAGCGATAGCGCTTCTCAGTAACTCCAAGGGCATTTGCATCCTGTGCTGCCTGTGCTAGGGGAGAAGATATCGCGCCAAAGCTTTTGCTTAAGCCCTCCTAACTCTGTTAGTATCTGTTTCCTTGGCGAAAAGTGCAAGAAATTCCTCCACTGCAACCGCATTGAGGTGCCGTCATGCCTGCATTCTCAACAAAGACGGAGGCATTCTTCATAATCTCCCTTTGCTGGTATGCTGCTGTTGTCTGCGACTGGGTTGTTAAGGTTGTGCTTGCTTTGAACTCCGCAAGGCTCCCAACGGCTGGCCACATTACCACCAAAGAACCGACCCAGATCAATCTCCATTGTGTTGGAGAAGTGAGAGTCTGAATTTTGGAATGAATATGATACCTGTGCCGGTCCTTCGGTAGAACGCACGGCTTTGCAGCTGTTCGCCCTGCTGCATACAGTGCGTGTATTCATGGGGTGAGTTTCATTACTCTCACCTGCATTCCGTGAAACATCCTATGGTAGCAAGAGTATAATGAGGGGGGTGGAGCCTATCGTAAGACAACTGCGTGGTGCAAGAGAGCCAGAAGTCCCTAAAGGCGGCTGAGCGCCCTCTCTAGTCCCCACACTTTCTGTGCACAGCGGCCAACGCCTCTAGGGTTGGGAGAGGGATGACGCCCTCAAAGTAGTTGCAATGCAGCTTATTGCGGCTCTCTGCTCGAGGCGCAAGACAGCCCCACGTGCAAGCACACATAGGTCTTCATGGCTGCCTGCATGAACCCTCTAGACAGTTATTGAATGTTTCAGCCTATGTTCTAGTTGCATACTAAAACGGAGTGGTGGTTCACGTGCAAACCTGAGACAGACCTACGAGGATGAACAAACTGAGCTATAAGCATCGGACAGTCTTTGCTAGAACGCTGCATGGGGAGGGCAACAACAGATGAAAGGGTGCCTAGGTCCCCTTTTGAGGCGTGCACTAGGAGTGTTAGTACTTCTTAAAGACTAATTTAGTTACTCCACTTCCCCTGCAGTGCTGAGTCCGCAGAGGCGCTGCTGCCACTATAGTTGACACTACACTGAGCCCTAATGGACTAGCCATCCGAGGAACCCCATCTTTCCATCTATTATATCAACTTATATCACTTATAATTATGACGTTTACAATTTAAACGTGGTTTTTGTTGCTACGGTCTGTTGCCCGATGCCATTAGCACACCCCATTGTAGTCCCATGCCGAACAGCTGCTGTGGTGTGTGCGGAGTCTGCCGCCTCCCTGTGTGCTGTGTCATACCTTTCGTCCAGTGCTACCACAGCGCCGACGTGTAAATAAGATTTCCGTTAGACGGTTATAAAGAATCTTATTATTCACCCATCCCGCATTGAGCAGTTTCCCAGCGGGTACCTTTGCACTCGTCTCTTCATTGACAGAAAGACATGCATAAAACGAATTCACAGATGGCATGTGCAGGCAGGTCTGTTCTATAGTCCTCTGCGGAATTAACGCGTCGCAGAACTATTTAGTGAGCAGCCACGCCCAATTACATTTTCCATATCAATGCAACAGCGGATCCCCCAGCTAATTGGCGTATACAACGAGAGGAAGCCAGGCACATTCAGCTGCAACCGCTTCCACCGAAGTTGGCCGTCAGGGGTTGTTACTGCCCCCGCCGCCGCCCACTCAGCCCACCTGGGACCTCGCTGGCCTCGCCTAGGGCTGCGCATTTGGAACGCGGTGCTGTTGTTTTGTCTTCTGTTTTTATTGACACCTGCAAGTATGGAGGCCTTCCTCCGCCCCGCTTCCGCGTACCCGCCGCTCCTCCAGGCTCTCCAAAAGGGGCCTTTAAAGGTAAGCTGACTCTTCACTTGCCATTAGGTTTTCAGATGTGCAGATCTTCTCACGTCCGTAGTAGGGAATTGGGGAACTTCCGCGGCAGCGGTGCCTAGTACATCTTGGCTTGGCCCCAACGACTGGTTTCTTGTGTCGCCGCAGGTCTCCTTGGTTGGTTCCGGTAATTGGGGGACGGCAGTAGGGAAGATAGTCGCTTCAAATGCAAAAAACTCGCATATATTCAATACGGATGTACGGTTATCATTTCCTCCACAGGGCTACTGCTTAGATTATACAGAGAACTGGGGTAGTCAGTGCAATATGCGCCGAAATGGGCATGCATGTGAGTTGCACTTGTGTCAGTGAAGTTTTGAGTAATATCGTACGACGGGAAAGGGATGCTGATTACATTTGTATGCGCCGCAGGTCCGCATGTGGGTGTTTGAGGAGGAGTTTGAGGGCCGCAAGCTCACAGACTGGATAAACAACCACCACGAAAATAAGAAGTATCTTCCAGGTTTCGAACTCCCCTCGAATTTACGTGCTGTTCCTTCCCTCACGGATGCCTGCAGAGATGCGGACCTGCTGGTCTTTGTCATGCCCCACCAGTTTATCGAGGTGAATGGCACAACCTGCGAACAGCGCCGATGTCTTTAGGTTTACGCCTCACTGTGTTCACACTTTAGACTGTAGCCTGTAGGGCTTCCGCACTGTTCCCTGTATTCATTTGGAATAGAGTGAATATATGGTTAATGCTTGCATGCAGTGGAACATAAAGAGGGAGTCTTGGAATGAGCGAATCAACCGTGGAATAGTATGTGTGTGAGCAGAGAGCCTGTCGAGAACTGCGAAAAGCCAAGTTACTGCCTCCACATTGTCGCGCCATTTCCCTCATTAAAGGCATAGGCGTAAGGAATGGATGGCCTTTAACCCTGACGCACGAAATCGGCTCAATTTTGGACCTCCCGAAGCCGTGCATCCTCTCGGGTGAGGATTTCCCACTATTGTGCTGCGCCTGGCTGGGACTGCTTGGATGGAATGTGCATAACAAACGTGTATCCAGGCACATTGAATGCTTTGCAAACGAGTCAGCTGCATTCTGATGCCGTTCGTCGTAGGCGCTAATGTGGCTAACGATGTTGCCGCTGAAAACTTCGCGGAGGCAACTATTGGTCATCCGGACGGTGAAACGGAGACGGCAGCGTTGTGGCAACTCCTTTTTGACAGACCCAACTTTAAGATAAACGTGCTTCCAGATGTTGATGGTGTGGAGGTGAGTTGGGCCTCACCGTAACATACTGAGATGCTGCCTCACTTTCGCCCGCAGTGTGCATTCATCTATATCTGTTGGATCAACTCACGCATGGCTTACCCGCTTCTTTGACAGGGTAGGTCGAGATTGTTTAACATTTTTCAAGCGCTGTTAGTGACTCTGCAGGTTTGCGGAGCTCTGAAGAACGTTGTTGCTCTTGCCGGTGGCTTCTGTGAAGGAATGGGACAGGGGACTAACACCAAGGCAGCAATCCTCCGACTTGGAGTGGAAGAGATAAAGACATTCACCATGCTCTTTTTTGGGGACCTCCTTGCTGTGAGCTACATTAGTCAGGCTGTGCATTTTGTCTTCAAGAGGCTGTTGCTGCGGCGAGTGCCGTGTTCCCTGAAAAGTGCTTCGGGGGGTATGCTGGATGTGGTCGTGCCAGCTACAGCGTCTCAGCCTGTCCGTGTGCGTGATTGTTTGGCTGCCACAGGACACGCTCTACGACAGCGCAGGCTATGCTGATGTTATCACGACGGTGTTTGGCGGACGCAACGCCAGAGTTGCTGCGGCGTTCGTTCGTCAGAAGGGCAAGGATTGGGATCAGCTGGAAAAGGAAATGCTCAACGGTCAGAAGCTGCAAGTACGTACATGCAGATTCACGTGATACAGGCGTTTCCACAGGCTATTCGAGGGGCTGTAGGCTAAAGTCCCCTTCTGTCGTCGAACCGTTTGTATGCTGGACAGCCCCCACGTGCCCACACGGGTTTGTCTGTCACATGCGCTTTCTGCTTGCGCAGGGGCCGGCCACGCTCGAACTGGTGGCCGAGGTGATCCGTGCAAATGAAGTTGAGCATCTTTTCCCATTGTTTACGTCGACTTATGCGGTAGCATTTCAGAATGCTGACCCGCAGGCAATCCTCGACGTTTTCCGCACAAACCGGCCGCGTAGCATACAAAGGAGTGAAGACTGCGTGAAGCTCAAAGTCCCCACGCTCGTGAGAGATGCGAGGATCAGAATTGCCTCTCGCATGAAGAAACTGGGGAGAAGCATTAGTGAATTGACAAGGAACCCGCCAGATACACCAGACAGCGCCTCAGAAGAAAGCAACCATAAGACGGAGGCTACTCCCGCGAAGCTCTAGCTAGGGCTTGAGTGCCTGGGCAGTGGTATTATCGTAGAAGATGCAGGTCGTTGGGCCGTCGAAAGTGGTGAATTCTGCATTCACGGCATATCGGTTTAGTTACCGCAACCTCAGAAGGAATCATGCAACGAACCGAAGGGCGGTGAACGTGGACAATCAACTGGTACGGTGACTGCCTGGCCTGTTGAAGGTGCCAAGGATTACCAAAAAAAAAAAAAAGGGGAGGGGGGGGGTTCTCTGCAGCAAATTTGGGCGTATTCAGTGGCGTCTCCAGGCACCTCCAGATATGTGTGGGTGCATCCGTTTGGATCTATGTTAAGTTCTTTTATGTTAAGCTGCGTTGGCCTTTAGCGATTAAAACCCCCCCTGGCTGCTTTAGCAGACTCTTGCAAACAACAGTCCACGCAATACTGTAGCCGTGGGCAGACGCTAGAGGGAGCTCATGTTGACAGCCCGGAATGTTGCGGATTTATACACTGCCACTGGATGTATGCGCCGGGCTATGTGAGATGTACGGAGGCGCAGCAGCCTTTGCAGTCGTGTCCACGGTTCACCTTTTGCACAACGACAGCCCCAAATAAATAGTTTGGTAGCAGCTCGGGGAGGGGGTTGTGCAACGCAACCACATCCCTCGCAACAAGGCTTCCATGCTGCCAGGGAGGCTTGAGCAACAACCAGTGCCCACAAGGAGCACAATGAAAGCAATCTACGCCATCTGCAAAAGAAAGCCCACCGGGATGCTGCACTTACTAGCCACCTAGCGGCCGTGGAGGCTGAGTCCATGTGGCACTATGATGCCTCGACCTACAGACAGAATAGAGCAGTTCACTGAGTGCCGAGGAGCACTTGTTCCCTTACGAGCAAGAGCCTCAGCTGCAACAAGTCGTGGACAGCAGGTAACAGGGGATCTGCAATCCCCATACAAAGTAACGATCTCCGTATGTCCGAAATACCCTGTGGGTACTGCCAGCAGACGATAAGTCGGTGGCATCTTGCAAAAACGCATCCCCCAAATTTGGATGACGGATGTAATTCTATAGAGCAAAGTATGTAAACCATCAAGGCCTGCTTGACGTCAATTCAAGATAAGTTTCTGGAAGAGAGTTGCGGGGTTTGCTGTGAGCTCGCCATTGGCCGCGAGACCCAAGGCGAAGATTGCTGGGACTGCCCCATAATGTAGGACTGGGTGCAACCAACGGTTCCAGGCGAAACAACAACGGTGCCATACCTGCGAGAAAAGCAATCTTAAACCAAATTCACAGTGAGGAACCTATAAGGGACTAAGAACAGCAAAAGAGTGGTGTATGGGCTAGGAGTCATTCGTTAGGGCGCCACAGCCTGCATTGGGGCACTCCGGCGGCGCTTTTAAAGCTTGCTACACAATGGAGCAACCGTCGCCTACGGTCACGCTGGATAAATAAGCACCAGATAGAACTGTGTGTTTAAGATGCCAAGAGGGAGCGTCGTCCTGCGCAGTCGAAGGCGTTGTGCGGACGCAGCCGTCTATCAGCGAGAAGTTGAAAAAGAAGTAGAAATACCTTGGTGCCTCGATCCTCCGACGCTTCCTTGCTCAGATAGGCCCCCATCCTGAAGAGCGTAGGAGGTCGTCGATCTCTCCGAAAGATACTTCGCGCAATCGGCAGCGGAGCTTCACTCAGCAGTGGCGGTGTAGGCGCTTGGTAAGTGCATATGTAGAATAATATACAACAACAACGCCTTCTCAGCGGTTGCAAGCATCAACTTTGCTGCTTCGCCAATAACGAGTCCTCCAAGTACATATACTCGCCGGTTGGGGCTGCAGTCCGGGCTTGAGGCATGAATGAAGGCGATCTGCTAACCATGCATCCCACAACATCGCATTTTTAACCTCCGAATTTGTTGGACAGAGAGATTTTTAACGGTTATTTCTCCCGGAAAACTCTCTCTCTAAGCACACAGGGCCTCTGGCTAACGGGTATTTCACGTATTCTTGTGTGGTCTGCCTTTTCACTGTTTTGGAGTCAGCAGGTCCATCACATACCTTTTTCAAGGGATATTTGGAAGAAAAGGGCGATCATCTGTTTTGATTTCCTGACTATTCCAGCGGCTACTTCTACGTGGCGTAACACGCATGTGTACTTAGGTGAAAATGGCTGCGAACATAGATATTGTGGTAGTGGGATGCATCAATTCTGACCTTGTGTCATTTGTATCGCGACTTCCGAGTGCGGGGGAGACGGTCTTTTCTTCCTTGCTGGAGAGTCATTTTGGAGGCAAGGGGGCTAACCAGGCTGCTCAAGCTGCCCTCTTAAGGCAGAGTAGTTCAGCCTGTCCAAAGGTCACCCACGAATGCTCCTTTGGTACCTCTCACCAAGGGTCAGACATTGCGTTATGCGAAAATGGCGCACGTACAAATGGAGGAACGCCATCCACTTGCGGCGTGGCGATGGTTGGAAGGATTGGGAGAGATGTTGCAGGTTTGAGTTTTCTGCGCCACTTTCAGTCGCTGGGTATTGATACTAGGGGCATTTTCACAGATTCTCATGCTGCAACTGGCACAGCCCTCGTCACTGTTGCTCAGGGAGGGGAAAATACCATTGCCTACTTGCCCGGGGCGAATGCGTTGTTGAGCAAGGAGCACGTCTCTGCAGAGCCCGTCTTCTCGTAACTTGCCACAGCCCTATAATATTTTTAGCAGTGCAACACCGTATTGAGGGCGTATGCACATCGCTACCGAGCAGCCACCCACTTTGTCACGGATGCCCTCGTATGTTTTGTAGGTTCGAATCGCAGAGTGCAGTGTGACGTTGTGGAATGGATAGTTCCCTAGGTTCATAGGAACATCAACATTCATAATTGCGTCGGCGTTTGTTGCTGCGTGTTAGGTTGCTGGGGGGTGCAAAAGTGATCGTGTCAGAGAATGGAATTCCGGGATCCGCTTCAGTGGAGTGCTTCCGAATTGCTAAGAAAGCAAATGCCAAGGTTTTGACGGTATTTACGCCGGCACCAGTTGACTCTGTTGATCCCGAGATCTGCTGCTTCACGGATTTTCTACTTTGCAACAGCATTGAAGCAAAAACACTCGTGAAGATGTGGGACAGCGAAGCGGCTGCCCCGGACACGTATGACGAAGAACGCATTGCACACCGTCTTCATGAGGTGATGGTTCGTACTGCCTGTCGGTTTTCTGCGGGCTTACAAGGTAGTGCGAATGTTGTCATCACGCGCGGAGCTCATCCGTGTGTTATATTTGCCGGTGGGAAATCCGTGACAGTGCCACTGGCGAAACCCGTTCCGAGCGAACTCGTTGTCGATACGACGGGGGCAGGTGACTCATTTGCAGGGTCGTTTGCTTACTTCCTCATGCAAACACCAAAGTCACCGGAAGTGGCAGTATCGAAGGCGACGTTCGTAGCAGCGCAGTCAGTCACAAAGAAAGGCGCTGCGGAAAGCTACGCCGGGAGGAACGAGCTTCCTGACCATTTATTTAAGCCTTCGTGACATAGAATTATTGTTGTTTCTGTATCGGCTAACTGCATTTTTAGTTATTTCACCTGAAGTGACGGATTAGCAGATTATCATGGAACAAGAATTCCAGCAGCGCCCTCCTGGAGCAGCCCAATCATGAAAGGTGCCTGTGCCCGTGGCTGATATCTAGCTTTAAGGAGCCTTCATTACAAGATTCTAAGCCGTCACAAGGGTGCAGAAAGCACATAACATGCATCAGATGGCAGGGAGTCGGCGTCTAGTTGACCAACAAGCACCTTGTCCGTACACCATGTCCATGGTCGCTGGCCTTGCAGAAGTTAGCCTGGCTCACTTCCGCGTGATGCAACTGCGGGGAACGGATTATTCTTGCAATGGTGATGCCCGTATCCGTCCCTTCTCCAATAAGTGTCTTTGCAGACAATGTGGATGCTGCACACGCGATAGCAATATTGTACCCTGACTCGACCCAGGGTAGGGCTTCTGAAAGCGAATGCCAATGCAAGTTGTTTTCACAGCAGTATAATGTGTTTATTTTGCAGATGCAGCGAAGGAAACACCTTACGTTGCAATTCGTCTAGGATCTTTGAGGAATGTGTGGCGCAGCTCCCCTTTCAATGCTAAGCAATCGGGGATTCACGTTTTTTGGGATAAAGAAATATGTGCTCCCCCCCTTGCGCCAACGCCAGAAGGTGCTTTTCTAAACTCCTCTTCACCTCACCCAGCGCGGAGTCCCTGGGCACGTGGTAATCTGTTGCGCGCTACCAACGCCGCCATTCAAGTGGCAGCACAAAGCTGCGTCTCGCCATTCCACAGCGAACTGCAGTACGAAGCCACGGGTACGCTCAGGTGTAAATCCTGCTACTGATGTAGCATTTGTTTTGATGTTCGTCGAATTTTAGATGCCGTTTCCCCCCTCGTCGTAAGCCCACTCACCGAAGGACTTGATGGGACGCTGACCAGCTCCAAAGCTCTGCAAATTGACGGCTGCCAAATTGACGGCCGCCATTGCAGTCGCATATCGAGCAGAGTAATTCAACTGCCGTGTTCTAAGCACTTATTGAATAATATTGTGAAACCAAACAGGGTGTACCCACCGATGCCAGCCTTAAAACTAGTGGAGCCTCAGGCGCTGCATTCACTACACCAAAAACACTCTCGCGAGTTCGTCGCTCAGTGGGCAAGTTGCCTGCAACTAACGGGCGTCAGTACTTCCGGGACTGCGAAGTGAAGGAGATTGCCTGCTGCCCTATAGCGCGCATTTTGCAAGTATGCAGATGACCGCTAGACAGGCATCCAATTACGATTCACCCAGCGTTTGAATGCACACTACAGCACCACGCGCAGACGCTACTCGCTGCGGATTCTACTACGGCATGAAACTGCCAGCCACAGCAGCAGCACAGACGAATGGCAGCTGAGGGCAGAACGGAGTTGGCGCGTTGGGAGGCTAGGGTGGATGCGGGCTGCAGTGCACCCTGACACTGTGCACCCTAAGTAATTCAAACTGTGCTACGTCTTTATCATTTCGTTGACTAAAGCATTTTTCGTAGCACGTAGAAGAGTGTATGACGCGAAGGTAAACGCCGACTCGGCGTTGGAGATTAAGCGACCCCTAGCAACTACGCAGGTCAACGGAGCTTGTCTATTGCGGCCTGCAACAATTCTCGTCTTGCCCGCTCCCCAATCAACTCGGGTCGTCCAGGGAGGATATCCAACACTAGGCGCCGCAACTGTTGTCGCACTGCTGGATTGGAGCTTAGAGGATGGTCCTGAATGACCATTTGTAGTAGGAGCTCGTGAGCGTCATAGATTTCTTGCTCATCCTCCACTAGGGGGAACCTGCAAACAGACGGGAACCGCGCAAATGGCTCTTGTTGGGTCGTCAGCAAACGACAGTACACACTGGAAAAGTGCTGAGCCGCAAAACAAATTGAGTACCCTACTTACCATGCCTCTAATAGAGTGGCGACTTTTGCAGAAGCCGCATCAATCCCAAGAGTCATGCAAAAACCTGCATAAACCTTAAGAAGTGAGCAGGCTGTCCCGTCAGCTGCAGCCCTGCCGCTCTGACACCGCAGCAACGGGTTCGCTATGCACCGTTCCAGGGCCTCGAGCGTGCCCTGAAGCTGCGAACCAAACAGTTCAGGGTGCCTTTGCGCGACAACGCCTGCGTCCCAAGAAATCGAACTCGCAATGAAAGCAATGACAGCACAAAGAGCCAAGACTGCCACATCGTGCCCCCACTAATATATGTATTCTGCGAAAATATCCCTACCTAATCCGTAAGTCGATGCTGAAATGGCCAGCATGTGCTCTTCATCAATGGCCCATTCGGCTTGGGGGCTGACGGCCAGAAGCGCCGCCGGAACCAACACCTTGCTACATTCTAGGGTGGCCGCCGGATCTCCGTAGTTGATCGCATCAGCGTAAAGACACAAAGCTGCAACCTGCGGACAGCACGGAGAGAGAGAGGAGAGAGAGCGAGAGAGTCGGGTTTTGCCTGTGCCAGGAAGGCAACTGCCAACGGTGCGACGTTGCAGCGGCCGCTAATAGAGCTCGTGCAGCATATCGGATTATTTGGCACATGCCAACGTTTGAGAGAACGCAAAATGGTTCAAACGTCAGTAACTCGCTTCTCTTGCAAGTTTTTGATCTGACCTTTCCATAGTAGCTTGACTGGTCATGTGCCAACAGCGCCCCATACGGCAGACGCAAATGAGCGTCAAAATGTGGCAAACAATCCGACCCGTACACCTGATGGATACAATACATAGTTCAAATGCTCAAAAATGCACAGGAGACGATCAAGAGCATTCTGAAGCACTCGGACGAGGGAAGACGCCGACACAGCATATTCCCAAATATTGGGGCCCCTTCTAAATGCGTCGTTCCCTACCAAGCAAAAAAGGGTGTGGTGAAGCATAAACTGATCTTGCGTATTTCCCCTGCTCCCGCTACTGCTGTGGTCTAATTGTGCATATCGTGCAGAGTTATGCACTTGTGCAATGGCCTTTAGTTTACAATCAAGCCTGCTTGTACTCAAATTCGCATTGTCAACCATAGTAGTTGAATTCAAACGTCTCCTTTTTTCGTGCGATTACCTTGAAAAGGTTGCCCGAGCATTGCATGACGGCGTCATAGAAAGAGCTGGTGTCCTCCTCCTGGTCATCGTCACTAAGATCCTGAAAAGAACAGCAACTAGCCCGCATACGGCACAGGTGCTTTGGTTCGTTTTCTGTGCAGCGCAGGCTGAATGGGTACGGCCATTTCAAAATTCTCACCTCCCATTCATCGTCCTGCTGCTCCCTAGTAGCTAGACGCTCGAACTCGCGAGTTAAGACCCTGCAACAACGTTATCATCGTTGCCACTGCACACTAATTTGGGCGCCGACCCATTTAGAGGTCACCACAATGATATCCAAGCCAAGGCACTCTAGTCTCTGCGTGCAGACTGGCTACCAATCAGTGCTGGTCGAGGGGCAGAACTTACGGAAGTATGAGCTTGCCCATGCCGACGAAAAGCTTCTCAAGTAGGGCCGCCCTCTGCGCTGAAGGCACCTTACACTCTTCTGGCAACATACCTTCCCTCTGCCGTTTCGCCTGGTCGGCTACGATCTGTGCAATAGCTGGCAGCATGTGTTCCGCCGCTACAGTTGCCGTTGAGTGTGGCAGTTGGCCCTCGCTGCTTGACAGAAAAGAAGCAACGAGCTCCAAGGCAGCGGTGGTAGCTTGCCCTTGCTGCTCTGGAGAAGACGCGAGAGCTGTCAGACAACCCGGAAGCGCCTATACGAGTGTCAGCACCCACAAACCAGCAGCTGATGATCATATTGTAGCATAGCCGAATTCTCTCACCGAGGCAGAAAAGTTTGCGTTGAGCTGCCTGTAGATGGAGAATGCTTACCTCAAACGCCGCACTACGGACGATCGAAAACTCAGAGGAGCAACTGTCAAGAGCAACAGCAGTCCATTCTTTCCCCCAAGCAGCTGGCGCTGAAGCCCCTACAGCCGAAGCAAGCGCCCCAAGCAGGCGCAGTGCAGCCAGCCGTTCTTCTACCGCGGCCTACGTGCAGCAGAAGTCACGAATGCAGACAAAATGACCTTCAGACCCCTTTTAGCAGCAACAAGCCTACTGAGCAAGAAGAGCCGCAAATGACGGCAGAAGGAATGCCAAGTGGCAATATATATATATATATATATATATATATA